AATAATTTGTGTGAATTTTCTTATAAATCATCAATATAAGAACCAATATGAAGTATAAAAATTATAATGTGATATATTTGAACAATTTAAAAGAGATATATTGATGGTTTATGGTTTAACATTATTAAAAGGTAACTATGTGTTGGACAATGTTTATGGTTTAACATTATTAAGTAAGCTTATAGGGTTTGAGTTTTATGGTTTAGGGTTTCGTAGACTTACAATAAAGTCTCTTTCACTCTAACAGTCTTTTTTAGTCTACTTTAATTTAAAAAAATCATTATTTTAAATTAAATTGAGTTCTTTATGAATTAAAATGTGTAATCATATAATATAAATATTTAACAATAAAGAAATAAATTAAACAAATCATATATTAAAATTATTATTACAAGAAAGAATAAATAACAATAATGAACTAATCATAGTAGATTTCCAAAAATTCTACTAAGTAGACTTACAATAAAGTCTACTCCAAAATTTAATTTTAGTGGACTTCAAAAGAAGTCTGCATTGTCGATAATTTTAATATAGTTATAATTTGTGTTTCTTTATATAAATGAAATTTACACAATCTCTCTCTAAAATGGCTGCACAAATTTCTAAAAACACTCTCACTTCTCTCTAAGACTCTCTCCATTCTCTCTAAAACTCTCTCATTTCTCTCTAAAACTCTCTCATTTCTCTCTAAATTCTTTGAATGTGAAGATGCACTTTTGTTTAGTTTGTTAATTTTTTATCATGTTTTTCTCACAATTATCTTGTGTTTGTAGGTTCATTCATAGTTATCACCTTCCATTCTAAAAAAATGTAATTCTTGGATCTATATATTTTAAATGTGTATTTTTATGTTTATATTCAAATGAAGTTATAAATACAAACTTTGTGCATTTACTTTGCTAGTATTTTATCTTATAAATTCTATTTTTGAAATATTTTCATATTTAAAACTATTTTTCACATTTTCACATGTCCATAGTTTTCAGATCTGAAAATTATCTGATATAGTAGACTTCTAATGAAGTTTACAAAAAAATATAGTCTACAAAAATAGGAGTGACCTTTAAATTTTTTTGTATAATGTTTCTTCTCATAATTTTATCTTTATTTTGTTGATATTTTCTTCTATAGTTTTTATCTACCCCTCTCAAAATTAAAGATTCACATTTTCATATATAAAAAAAAATTGAAAACCTCAAAGCATCATTAGTGAGAAAATTAAGGTCTTAAAAATTATAAAACATTAACAATTTTAGTATGTAATTATTTTTGGTACCACAAAATATTTAGACCAATAGGTTTTGAGTAGGTGTAGTCCACTCTATTCTTTCTCTTACTTTTCAATTATTTTTCATTTAATTATTACGGGAGGCTCCTTAAAAGTTTATCACGGCGGATGCTCTTATAGATTCGAAATTATTAGGAATAAAAAAATGAATTCATGTGACAAAAAAAAAAAGTTGTACCTATAAAATTTGTGGTGAAACCTGGATTCACACATCATTAGTGGGAGACATGGAATCCACAAGAGTTTTTGGAGCAAAACTTGGATTTAAACTCTCTATTCGTTCTCAGGCGAATGTATTGTCGTCATGCAAACCCTTTCGTTTCCCGCCAACGTCATTTCCCGGCAAGCCTCCCAAGCTTGTTCCTTTGAAGGCCACTACTAACACTCTGGCTTGTGAAGATGAAAATAATCGCAAGTTCAAGAAGATGGAGCCTTCAGAGTGGGGTCATCAATTCATCGATGCTCATGTTGATGTCGCTGTAAGTCAATAAACAAAAGCGTGCCTATTTCACCAAAAACAAAAGGGTGCCTATTTTAGTGAGCGAACAAAGAAACTCTTTACCATTATGGATTTTGATCCATTTCTCTTTCTTTTTCTTCTTGTTTCTCATTCTAGTTTATGTGCTTCATCTTATTCTTCTACACTTTGGTTATCATTAGTTGGTTACCATAGCAAACAAAACAACAGAAATCATTTGACCAAAAAAAACAACAGAAATAATAATCCTACAAAAGTTCATACGTAGTATAATTTTTTCGTCCCCTCGATCTAGCTAGGCGCCGTGTATACGAAATCATTAAATTCATAGAGGATATGAAATCATGTCTAATTTATGTATTGTTAAGGAAATGGATTCGCTTGGTAGAGAAATTGAAGCACTAAAGCCAAAAGTGGGGGACATGTTCTTGTCTTCCAGTGACGTTGATTCAACCAAGAAGAATATCCTTTTCATCTATTTGCTCATGAGCCTTGGTGTCGCATATCATTTCGAAGCTGAGATAGAGGAGAATCTTAAAGAGGGACTTAAAAGGATTGAAGAGATGTTGTCTGGTGAAGATGATTTGTACACAGTTTCCATCATCTTTTGGGTTTTCAGATCATATGGTCACAACCTTTCTCCCGGTAAAGATTTTCTATCTAGAGCATACGACAAGTGTTTTGTCATTGTGTGATTAATCTTTATAACTAGCTAGGTGATTCCGAAAACATCCCACATATAAAAGAAATAATCATATCCATTAGGGTTTATAGGTCTAATAAACCTACCGATTCATTTTGGTGTATAGATGTTTTTAAGAGATTCAAAGGGGAAAATGGAAAATTCAAAGAATGTCTTGCGGAGGATACGAAGGGTATCTTAAGCTTGTATGAAGCTGCTCAGATGGGAACAATGACAGAATATATATTGGACGAAGCCTCGGGCTTTGTATTGAGTTACTTAGAGCCGCTAGTTGCAAGTGGGACATGCCAACCTCATCTCTCCAGGCGTATACAAAAAGCTCTGGGACAACCGCAACATAGGAACATGGAGATATTAGTTGCAATGGAATATATCCGGTTCTACGAACAAGAAGAAGACTATGACAAGACGCTACTAATGTTTGCCAAGCTTAACTTCAAATACCTTCAGCTACATTACCTTCAAGAACTCAAAGGCCTCTCAAAGTAAGTAAAATCTGCTCTAGAGCTTCTTTATACAACCCTTGAAAGAAGTTGATTTTCATCATTGTATATTCATGTTCTGTGGATGCCAGATGGTACAAGGAGAAAGACTTCGAATCTAACTTACCACCTTACTACAGAGACAGATTTGTGGAAATGCACGTCGTTGCGCTAGCATACTTAGAGCCAAATCACTCACGTTTGAGGATTATGCTAACTAAGATGTTCGTGCTTCAAATTATTCTTGATGACACATGTGACAGATATGCTTCGTGAAGTTGAAAGCCTCGCTAATGCAATCGAAAGGTCCATATTATATAATATATAATATATACGTAATATATTATAAAGTTGTTTGAGTCCACTTTTATCGTCTACAAATCACACATTCGCTTTTTTTTGGCTTGCAAATACGAGGTTTCGACACGGCGACTACACTAGTATAAGTTTTGATACTAAAAAATATTTATTTAAAACAATGCTAAAAAAATTATAGCTCCCCATGATACTTGTAAGAAAAAACGTGATGTTAAATTTCGTTGTAGTGAGTTCTGATCCACATCTGAAAAAATAGAAAAGAAATTGATGATGTATGTATATATACATGATGATGTAGGTGGGATCTCGATGATCCCATGGATGGCCAACCAATTTATTTGAAATTTGTGGTTAAATTTATATTCGATACTTTCCAAGAGTTTGAAAGAGAAGTGGCATCAGAATTAGGAGGATCTGACAGCTTAAAAGCTACAATTGAGGAGGTAATCATACAGTATTTTTTTCCTGTTACTATAATATAATGCATGTGTTAACGAGAATAACTATTAATATCAAATGATAATTGAAGAACGTAATATTACAATGTTTACATTTTGAGCATTGCAGTTCAAGAGACTCACGAGAGCCAATCTCCAACTCGCTAAATGGGCAGAAGCGGGTCATGTCCCTAGTTTTGACGAGTATCTAAAAGTTGCTGGAATCGAGATTGCTGTGGATTTTACTTTATTTGGTATTTTGGTGGCTATGAAAGATATCTGCAAGGAAGAAGCGGTTGCGTGGTTGAAATCTAGAAACAAGCTTGCGGTATTAATGCATACAGTAGGAAGAGTGAGGAATGATATTTTTGGCTTAAAGGTACCAATGAGGGGAAGCTAATTTTCTGTTCTAGTAATTCATATATTGTTTATTTGATAATCAAACTTACGTACATGTGTGACACTGATTAGGATGACATGAGCAGAGGATATGTCACGAACTCGGTAAACTGTTATAAGAAGCAATATNATAAGATTGGAAAGTTTACTTTTACCAAAAAAAAAAAAAAAAAAAGAGATGGGAAAGTTTTTATTTTCGTTTCTAGAAATAGTTACTTACGGTTAAAGTAAGAACTAGTAAGTTTGGGTGTTTTCTTAATGAGAAACATAAATTTTAAATTACTTTCTCTTGTTCTTTTGTCCAAGTTCCTTTGTTTGCGTTAATAAAAACAAATTCATTCTGCTTGAAAAGAGAATTTGCGTTTGACATCACGCATCTCCTAACATTTGCTAATCGAACCGGTTCTGCATTCCTAGAAAATCATCTAAACCGAACCGGAACCTTTTCCACGATGTCTAAACAATACACGTCATAGTTTTTGTCTAAACAATAAGAAAGACGACGCAGGTGACAATGGCATATGTTCAGGTCCGGTTCATTTAATTATAGACCTTATTCAAAATTAAGTTTTTAAAGAACAATTATAAGACTGACAAAAAAAAGAACAATTGTAAAAATTTTGTAAAAGGTCCCTAATTTTTAGAAAAATGCTTTAAATTTGTCAAAAAAAAATCAAAAAAAAGTTGGACCTACGGCAAAAGTACTCCTTGCACTTGCCAGTGGCGTTTTTACTCTAAACCGAAGTCTCAACCTTAACTCAAGCCGAAAAAAACTAAAACCGCATACATACTATTATACAAAATATCCAAATAGGACTGTTGGGCTCGGGTTCAAAATACCTAAGTCTCAACCTAGGACTGTCGGACTAGGTTCAAAAAATATTTGAAATCAGTTAAATATGTTAATGTTTTAATATATACTAAAACTTGATCCACGCCTCCATGCGGATGTTTGATTTAAGTTATGTTCAACGTAAATTCATAGACCGTTGGTTTTATAAAAACTTCTCATTTATATTTTTTATGTTTTGTAATTTACATATAGAGTAGAATATGTTATTTTATAATACAGATTTTTGATAAAAAAAAAATTATTTTCACATAATATTATATTATTTTTTATATAACTTGATGCAATTTGATGTAACTGTACTATTCATATATTAACTTGTTGTTTTTTTAATTTACTTTAAAATGAAAAAACATACTAAAATTTTTAATTTTTGCATTAGTTTTCTATAAATTATTATTAATTTTATGACTTTTTTAAAAAACTGAACTATAAATTTTATATTCGACTAAACTAAATAAGGTAATACTATATTTAAAAATGGTTTTATATAATATCTACTATATATTTCAGTTTTTATTTCTATTTTTACCACAAAGAAACATTAATCATTACAATTAATTAATTAATTAATTTAAATTGATTTTAACTGCAGTGATAGAATCTATAAATTAAAAAATAAAAAAGTACTTAAGTTATTGTAAATTCAATGGTAAATGTATAAAAGGAAATATTTAATTTGCTATTCATGTTTCCAAACAATTTTTATTTATATTGTTATTCTTTTTTTTGTCAACTTATATTGTTATTCATGTTTCCAAATAGTACTCAACTTATATTGTTATTCATGTTTCCAAACAGTACTAAAAAGTACGTCAATTGTGTTAATATAGATTAAAGTAATTTAGATATTTTACAGTAGTTAAAGATTTTATAGTTTGTTCTATGGGGATTTGTAAATATGACTCAAAACTTGATTTTAAATGTAAAAGTGTACCCAAACTCAAATCAAATGCAAAAATAACTCAAAAGATTAGTGAAATTACAAACATCCCCTTATGACCAAAACAAAAAAACAGGATTGTAATTTACCATTATAACCTTACGAATGAGAAGACTTTCAGGTAAGTCTTCTCTTGAAAGTCTTCTCATGCTGTAGATCTTAAAAATAATTTATAAATTTAAGAAAAAATATTTTGGTTAGTAAAAAAATCATAATCATGTAATTATTGACATTTATACATGATGTAAGCATAGATTTAATAAAACTGAATATTTTTCAAGATGCATGAATAAATATAAGTTTGTTATGATATTCTTTGCTTTAGGGTTTGGTAACTATGTTATAGTATTGTATGTGTTTTTAGAATTAGATTATGGAATCTTAAAAAAAAATTTAAAAAGTAAAATTTAACTATATGTTGTTTAGTTTTGTGTAGATTAAACATTTTATAAGTTTAATTTAGTTTGATAAATTTTTTGTATGTGAATTAGTTATATATATTTGACCTCTCTGATTTTGGGTTTTGGAAAACTTATTAAGAATTAATAACAGTTTTCTGCTCAAAATTTAGGTTTTTCGCTTAAAATTCTAACAAAATTTAGATTTCCCGTTTAAAATTAAGTCTTCTAATGTCTTTTAAAATCTTCCACGGAAAGTCTTCTAAAGTATCCGAGGAAAAGTTTTCTAGTGTATTAATTCTTAAAATAATTTATAAACTTCATAAAAAATATTATGATAGGAAAAAAATCATAATCATCTAATTACCGACATTTGTAAGTGATATAAATTTAGACTTAATAAAATTAAATTTTTTGCAACATAGATGAGTGAATGTAACAAAGCATGATATTCTTTGGTTTAGGGTTTGGTAACAATGTTGTAGTATTGTATGTGTTTTTAGGGTTAGATTGTGGAATCTTAACATTTTTTTTAAAAGTAGATTTTAGCTATATGTGTTTTGTTTTATGTAGATTAAACATTTTATAAGTTTAATTTAAGTTTAATAAAGTCTTTGTATGTGATTTAGTTATATATATATATATATATATATATATATTATTTTATTTTGGGATTTGAGAAGACTTATGAAGACTTAATAACAGTTTTCCGCTTAAAATTAAAGCAAATTAGTTTTCCCGATTAAAATTAAGTCTTTCAATGTCTTCTAACTTCTTCCAGGGAAAACCTTCTAAAGTATTCCAGGGAAATTTTTCTAGTGTATTAACTCTGAAAACAATTTATAAATTTCATAAAAAATATTTTGATAGGGGAAAACTCATAATCATCTACTTATAGACATTTGTAAGTGATATAACTTTAGACTTATAACATAGATGAGTGAATGTAAATTAGTCATGATAATCTAGAAGACTTAAGAAGACTCTAGAAGACCTATTAGAAGACTTTCGAAGACCTCTGAAGACATACTTAAAGTCTTCTAGAGTCAAAACTTTGGAAGATATTCGAAGACCTCGGAAAACCTACTTAAGGTCTTTTCGTAGGTCTTCCAAAGTCTTTTTAATTCTTCCATAGTTTACTATTTTCCGCTCAAATAGTAAGTTTTCTGGACGAATAAGTCTTTAAATTAAGTCTTCTGGGTGAATAGTCTTCTAAGGTCTTCTAAAGTCTTCTGTATCAAAAATATTTAACCTAATTAAAATTTTTATCTTCCTATATAAATAAAAATTTACAAATTCTCCTTCTCTCTCTTAAATGGAGGCAACAAAAATGTAATATTTATCACTCTAATATTCTGCAACCTCTCTCTAAACTATTTGAATTTGATAACACCAAACATTATATCAATTTCACATTTGTATGTGTTTCTCACTATTTTATCATGTTTTTGCAGGTTTTCATTACAAAGATGTCATCTTTCCCTCATTTAAAGGTAGATCTATAAATTTTTGATATATATTTTTGTGTCTTTTATATATTAGATTCTAATAAGTTATAGATTCAACATAATGTGATTGTTTTAGTTATTATTTAAGCTTAAAATATTGTTTTTTGAATATTTTCTTTGTTTTGATGTCATTTGAAATTTTTTGGATATGCATGTTTTTTCAGATCTGAGGCAGACATTAGAAGACTTACAGAAGACTTTCCTAGAAGTCTTCTGACGTCGTCTTAAGTCTTCTAACATTGTCTTAAGTCTTCTGATTTCGTCTTAAGTCTTCTGGCATAGTATTCTTCCATGTCTCCTCCTTCACAACAGATATGAGCATTTGGTAAGTTTTCATTTCTGATTTTCTTCATTTAGTATTCTATTGTTTCATAAATTTCTTATCTTTTTCCAAACTAAAATTCTCCAACCACTTTTTAATCTCTTTAAACATGAAAACACCAAAAATTATATCAATTTCTCATTGTGTGTGTTTCTAACTATTTTATCTTGTTTTTGCAGGTTTTTCATTACATAGTTGTCATCTTTCACTCATTTAAGGATATAACTATAAATTTTTTATATGTATTTTGTGTGTTTTATATGCTATATTCTAATAAGTTATAGATTCAACATAATGTGATTTTTTAGATATTATTTAAGCTTAAAACCATTGTTTTTATGAAATTTTTCTATGTTTTTATATCATTTGAACGTTTTTGGATGTGCAGGTTTTTTCAGATCTGAGACAGACATCGAATGACTTACAGAAGACGTTCAGAAGACATTCCTAGAATTCTTCTAACGTTGTCTTAAAACTTCTGATGTTGTCTTAAGTCTTCTGGTGTAGTCTTAAGTCTTCTAACGTATTCTTAAGTCTTCTGACGTAATCTTAAGTCTTCTGACCTAATCTTAAGTCTTCTGGCATAGTCTTAAGTCTTCTTGAAAATCTTCTCTCATATCAAGTGGAGTCCAAGTTTGTCTTTGTGGAGCAATGAACTATAAAATTTTATTTGTGGTCTGTTTTGTGATTTGTATGTGTACTCTTTAGTTGTGTTTTTTTTTTTTGTAAATTTGAGAAAATATTAATAAAAATAATGGTAAATATGTTTATTATCAAAATTACTTTACATTATTAAATAAGATATGTGCTAACAATGTGTTTTCCACTTTTACAAATCAAAGAAATAAAAAACTCCATTGGCTTCAGATTCAAAACATGATGTTCATTGTGTAGTTCTTCTCATCTTTCACGAAGCCGGTAACCACACCCCCACTCTCTATTTAAGACATTGGTATGAT